TTTTTTATTCTGGGTTTTTTTTTGAAATTTCCAAAAAATTACTCTAAGTAACAAATTAAAAAGTGAAATTGTTTAATTTGAGATAGATGTAATAATGTATGTTAATTTTTTATTTCTATTTTTATTTCAAACACAAAGAATTTTAAAATTTTTGAAACATTATAAAAAATTGAAAATATATTTTTAAAAAATCTAGGAAAAGGAAAAAGAGATAGAAAATATTAAAAAAGGGATTAATAATAAACGAAAATAAGAAATGAGCACGAATGCCCCCTATGGTTTAGAAATTATGCGTCAATGCCCCCTCTTCGCCGGAAAATGACCGGAAAATGGTCATAGGGGGTGTGGGTGCAACGTTTTGAAACCACGGGGATTTTAGAAATAAGTTTTGAAAACAGAGGGGGTATTGGTGCCAATTTTCCAAACCACAGGGGGTGTCAGAGCTGTTTGGCCCGTTTTAATTTATACTCCATATGAATTTAATTTTTTTGGGGGGTGGAATGAAATTTCTTTTTTGTAATTATATGTGAAACATTATTGCAGTGAAAGTGAAGTTCTTGTTTAACATTTACCGAGTACATTTTAATTTCATCCACTCTTTTCCGTATTGTTATTATCTATTCGATAAAATAATATATTCATGTCATCTCTTTTAATTTCTTATAAACTTTTCAAAGCTGTCTACACACATAGTCATTCTTTTAAGGATACACACAAACATATATGTGTGTGTGTATTACACAAGTTATGAAATAAATTAAATTAAAAATAATTTTTATCAAACGATATCATAAATCACAACGAGAACTTCATTTTAAGACGGAAGATAGTACTCCGTAATAATTTCCGTATACATAGAACCAACAGAGTTGTTTTAACATCAGATTTTGATGTCATATAACATTGGAGCCTATAAAGTCCGTTGGGCTTGCTGGCTTAGGACCAGAACCTACCCTAACTCTCCCGCCAAAAACAAATCTCTTATTCTGTATCCAACGCCTACCCCCTCAGGCCACCTATTTTAGGTTCCAGGCAAAAAAAGTTTATGGGATGTTGGGGGGAGGGGGGTGGATGGAGAAAGGGTACGGCTACGGTCGAAAGCTAGGGCGGGGGAACAGTACAAATAACGAAAAACACAACGTGATAAAAAACATCAATGTCTATTAAAAGCATGAACAATGGCGAGGTAAAAATGGAATGTCACACGATGACATGGAATATTTTAACCAATAAAAAACAGTTCAGTCAGCGTGTGACAAGTGAGTGCAGTGGCAAGTCATTATTTTTTATCACTTTTTACATTTTTTTAAATGTTTTTTAAACATAAAAAAATATTTTTATTATTTATTTTATCAAGAAATTATTCTACTTTCTTATACATTTTTTTCATAAAAAACTTATAAAAAAAATATAAATAAAAGAAGAAAAGAATGGTGGAGTGCCACACCCATGCCTCAC